TCCATATTTATATATGTATATATATTATTATGCAGCTTTACTAGACTTTTGCAACTGAGCATCTCAACGACTTCTTCATAAAAATATATATTTAGCATTACGTCATGTAGCAACTTTGCGTGTCGCCAACATAGCGTGCTTCAAAATGTCTCGCGTCAGTTGTGGTTTATTAAATACGCGGCTTTAAACTTATTCTATACGATTCAAATTATTGTTTTACGTCCGCTTTTAAATGACATGCACGCAGGTAGAACTTTCATCACAATTCTTTGTTGCGTTTCGAATAGAAGCCCTCTGTCTCTTTAGACAACTTACAACTTCTCATATTCATTTAGATTTTATAAAATCGACAACTAACTTTTACTATCATAACTCAAAACACGTCTAGATGAATTTATGGATTTCTTATTCGGAATTACTTACCAAAGTCAATATATGTTAGAACACAATTAGATACACGCATTTATTTTAATTTAGAATTAAGACGTCCTCTGTGTTAAGGTGAAAACACACTAGTCTAATATGTATCAGCACCGCGAACTTGTTGCTTAGGTACGTTGCGGACTAATATGCGATCACCTTGAGTTTGTGTGTGTTTGTTACTTTAGCCATATTTTATTATTATATAAGTATTTTTGGATTTGGTGTTGAAGAGTATTTTTTGGATTACAAAAGTCTATTTTTATTATTCTAACCTGGCAAAACAGGAATGTTGTGAAAAATCTTCATATTTAATGAACAAGGCTGTTATATCTGATCCCTTAGACGTGTTACGGAATTTCAAAGAAGGGCTTTTTCATGTCTAATTCACTATTAGCGCCGTAATTTTAAGGTCGAAAACTGAATATTCAGCTTTTAACACGTTCACAGTGTCCCACGTAAATGCCGAAATCAACCCCGTAAGTCCTCCAAAATATGTGTGAAATAGTGTCGGTTTCGTCTTTTACTCTCACATATAATATCAGTACATATAATATATCCAACTTATTTTGTTATTTTTGCAACCTACACCTATAAAAAGACTATCCAGTTCACAAGTTTAAAAAATCATGTACAAGTCCAACGAAAATACACTCATTAAAACTGTCTAGGGAGCAAGCACGTTTTTTGCCAATTACTGAAAATCTGGTTTTTTACCTTTTGTAACACCATTGGGTTTTTTGGTTCAATTTCATAAATAAATTGATATAGATTTACATTTAAATTTTACATAATTTTAACAGGGTCAACATGGTAAGGGATAACATCAAATATTTCAAAAAATACTTTGCTCCCAAGACGCTTTTGATGTGTGTTTTTGACATTGTAGTAGTATGTAGTTCATATGGAGTTATGTACTGCCAACGTGTTAACTTAGGATATTTTTCATGACATTCTTGCCACCCGTTGAAATTCTTTGAAAGTGATTGTAATGAAATTAACCTTAGTCTAAAATTGTTAAACTAATACTAAAATTATATATATATATAATGCGGGCTACACATGGTCATTCGGCCGGACGGATTTGATTGGAATGGTCGTGCGTTCAAATCGCCTTCGTCGCAGTCGTCTCAGTTCATCGATACGCCTTTTGGCCTGCTTCTTTCTAATTCAGTAAATTTATTGTACACCCGTGAGATTTGGACGTACGGATAACTGATCGTCTGTAACCCGCATTAATCCATATTGAATAAGTGTTCTGTAAAAATATTTAAACTTGAATTTGATGAATGGTGATTTTCAAAATGTTGTCAAGTTTAAATGGCAATAGTGTACAATTTTTGAACAAATAAAAACATGTAAAAAGTTTTCAATGAATATGTTGTTTTTTTTTAGTTTCTTAGGGTGAAACTATATAAGTAGTTCCTAAAACGCTGATACGTCCTGATACGGTAAGGTCCAATCCGCATACACCCTAATATATTATTTTACCATTCAACCAACCAACAACTCCTCTTTACAGACAGATAGATGAAGTCAAGTTTTAAGTTTTAGGTCTAATTTTCCAGAAAATTTAAGATATTTATATTACAAAGTTCAGCACACTACGAGTTCACTAAACTGCAATACTGCATTACTGCAATGTTACACAATATGACATACGTTGCTCTGATCCCAAAGTAAGTAGCTAAAGCACTTGTGTTATGGAAATCGGAAACAACGACGGTACCACAAACACCCAGACCCGAGACGATATAGAAAAATTAGTTTCCTGCACTGACTAAGGAATCCCTTGTAGTATGAATACCACACCAAAAAAATTAACTTCGGGCGTACTGACTCTGAACACTTAGACCAGAACCAATTTAGAAAAGCTCATTACTTCAAACGCATATCGACACACACGAATCGCTGACATCAGATGTTGTATAGAATAAGTATGTTGTAAAGGCTACAGCATGGCCTTAGCGAAATGAGAATGCAGAAGGCTCGATACACATAATTAATTTTATTATGACAAATGAAATGATATTTGCAATGGTGCCCTTTGCAATGGCGGTAAAAACTTCTAATAAAATACCAAAACATATAAAGACCGAAAACACATATCAAAACATATATCAAAAGAATTTTTGTTATTAAAAGGCAAAAAACAATTCGTTGCAAGAGTTTTTAAAATAAAATGGTTTGATATTAGATATATCAAACTAAATTAATAAACAAAGGACAACAATAAATTACCTAATAATAGGCATACATAAAATGTGATTAATAATCAATATGATAGTGTAGAGTGAATTAATCTCAATTTCATTTCATTTTAATGTGTAATTTTAGTTTGATTTTGTTTACTGAATTTTATGAGATTTTTTGTTTAGAATAATTAAATAATTTGAATGTTGCAGTACCCTACCAGAGTTCATGTGTAGGTAGTGAATTTTTTTAAATATACACCATGTCACCAGATGATTGCAATAAATAAATGAATTATGAATTATAAAAGTATAATTAATATAAAACGATCCCTACACCGACTAAACACAACACTCACCCCGAAAGAGCCTATACATACAGAGTGTTTTGTTAAATGAGACAGATTGGGGAAATCCGAAACCATACAAGATGCAAGGAAACTGTCTTAGGAACTATTAAGTCTTTTTTGTGAAAACAATTTTGGCACAGTAAATTTTTGGTCAAGCGCGAGTTGTCCATAAAAATGAATAAAATTGATCATAACTTTTTTTTAGTGCTGATC